AGTCACTGGCTGCACGCCATTGGACGAATGATCCCTGCACGGTTCGATCACTCCTTTCCACCGCAAATTGGTATTGCAAATCAAAATCGCTAAGCAAATCTTGCAAATCTTACAAAGAATGAAGAGGAAGGGTTCCAAGTTTGTCAGCTTCGCAAGCCTCAACGATTTAAAGGAGCAGGGGAACCTGATATTCCTATCCTTGTACAGTTTTGAATTTTTGGCATGCAGTACTCTTTAGCATAAAACACTACGCCGCCTTTCTCTTAGTTTTAGCTTTTTTTTGGATTCAGTTTCAAGCAAAAGAATCCATTGAGTTTCATTTTTTTACTTCTGTCAACATTCTTCATTTTTCTTGAATTTGCAAAGCGTCTAAAAAGTTCAGGTGAACGAAAAACTGCGTGAAGCGTTGTATGCGAAGAACAATTGGGCCGCAGTGTTTACCGAAGAACGAGATAAATTTTACGATTTAAAAGAAGAACTGGCCGATCAGATTTCTGCGCAGAGAGGCTACTTTCAAGAGTTTCTTGAGGTTTTTTTTTCCATGGCGTGTTCAATGCAGCCTAATACGCTTTTCATATTGCGAAGCTTTATCGATGTTTACAGGGTAGCAAAGACACCTCGGCAAAAATGCGGCAGTATAAGTCTGATAATTCAGGCAAAATAAGAATGCTTAATAAGGTTCTTTTTTATTTCATTTAATTAAACAGGGAACTGCTTAGTACCTCATTTAATTAAGCAGGGAACTGCTCAGTACTTCAATCATCTTTTCACAGCGCCAAAAATAACCTAATTCAGCGGGTTGATGCTGTTTTAGGAGAATGCGAACATGCTGCAAAATTCCATCGACAAGCTGGAAACGAAGATTGCACAGATGCACACACAGTTGGTGGAAAAATTGAAGAGGTTCGATGAAAGGATGCGTGAAGCGCTGGAAAAACTGCCGGAGGTAGAACGAAATTGTGATAATGCAGCAGTACGCTTCGAACACGCCGTAAAGGATTTGATAGCCTTCAACGACGCTTACAAGAAAAGCAGGAAAGGTCAACAGGTATACGTCATTCTAAAAAAGAAGTATGATGTTGTGCAGCAATAAGCTGGATTAGCCACTAACGCAAGTTTACTGCAGTCTATGGATGGTCAGCTGGAAACGTTGTTTTTGGAGAATGACAAACTGAGGCGCA